AGCATTTAATTCCTTTTTGATTAATATAGGACAAAGCTTAGCTGATGCATTTAGTAGTTTGGGATATCAAGAGGAAATTCGAATTCATTTCTGTTCGGACATTATATTAACTTGGTGTTTTTTCGACCTGTAACTGAAGAGGTAATAAACACCTATGTTATTAATATGAAAACAAGTCTGTCGTCAGGTAATGATGGGATAAATGTTAGTTATATTAAGTCTGTATCACATTCACTTATAAAAGCAACTAACACAAGATAAACGTTTCTTTATTGACCGGTTGTTTCCAAAATAATTAATTATAGCAAAGGTTACACCTGTTTTAAGAATGGAGATGTGCAAGATATCCAGAACTACCGACCAAATGTTTTATGTATAAGAAGGTTGTTTATGATCAACTATGCACTGTTTTTATGTCAAACATATGCATTATATATATATATATATATATATATATATATATATATAATATTTCATTTGTGTTCCACGTGTGTTCCGACAGAATAATAGAAAATAATGAAACAACTTCAGTAGTAGACTTTAAGAACACTGATTTATTATAAACTCGGATATTTCTGCCACTTATATATATATATATACATATAAGCATAGGCCTGACTTATATATAGACAAATGGATAAATAATAATAATAATAATAATAATAATAGTGCTGAACTAACTTTGGGTATTTAGTAAGATATTATTATATTTATTTATCAATGCTTTTTTTTGTTTTAGTTTGGGTTCCATGTTAAAAAATTTGAGCTTATTTTGCAAGCCCTTTTCCATTTCTTTGTCTTTGTATACATTGATTTGGTACTTTAACTTGTTTCCATTGTATTGTTTTAAAATTAGATATAAATTGAAATATATATTGATTATTTGAAATACTAAGCAGAAAATGACACATGCGGTAATTAATAATAATTTTAATATTTTGAAAGTGTTTGATATTTGTCTTGGAAAAAAGTGTTGTATTGCAATTAACAGAATGAAAGTTCTTTTTATATATAATTCTTTTATAATGGTGAAAAAGTGGAACTAATTTAAAATGATTTAATAGAAATATAAGCTGGGTGAGTTCATGTTATGATAAACGACTAGATAGTCTTAGTAGCATAACGAAAGACTCGCACTCAAAATCCTTAATATCTGAAATCGAAAAACAGCGGAGCTTTGAATGAAAGGAATTGTGTGATCGGATTGTGTTCGTTTTGTCAACGAGAATGGCTCTTTTATCATTTTCTAGTATGACATAAATCGAGATGTCTTCCCTGTTAAAACGATGTGTGGCCAAGCTCATCTATACAGTCGTATATAACTCTAAATGTCAATCATAACCGGTAGTGAGGCGTTAGTCAGACCTTTCAGTACTGGCCTACTTCTGTTATTATTGTAATGTACCGTGTAACATTTCTTATTAACCCATTACCCCGTGGCGTTTCTCAAATTCATCTTCTGTTCTGCTGCGTCTTTCCTCAAACTGTTTCATCATATTCCATCGAATTATAATTAATAATGATTTACTGCAGCCTGTTATCAATTTCTGAACAGTTATATTTGCGAAAAAATATTTCTGTTTGGATATTAATTAATACAGTAAACGCCCCTCTCTCTCTCTCTCTCTCTCTCTCTTTGCGAAATATTCTTTTACTAATACTCCTTGGCGTCACCTCTTCGTAAGGGTACTCATAGCGTATTATGCGACTGTATTCAAAAGTACTATTTATTGTCATATTACACATTTATCCTAGACAACTTTATTTTACCGACCGCTTAAGAAATTATTTTAATATAAGTACCTTTAAATTGGTCCTATGCTTTTAAAGAAAGAGGTTCGCTAGCAAAATGTGCATCCAAACCTGTATTCATCATTGCTTCAATTTATAGAAAAATGAACAATTAACAAAGAGGCAGGAAACTGATTGTCGTATCATTCACATGTACATTTTATATATGAATAAAGTTATTGTATTTTGTATATGAATGTAATCTTCAATTTTATTGTTGTTTTTACAGCCTGTGAACTTCTGAGTAAAAGTGTAGTTGCAGTTTTTGCGCCACAAACAGCTGCGGGCGCTGTTGCAGTTGAGTCCGTCTGTAGTTCAGTGTCTGTACCAATAATTGAGTCACGATGGGACTATCAAAGGCATCATAATTACGCTTCGTTCAATTTATATCCACAGCACAACTTGCTAGGCGAAGCATTAAAAAATTTGACAGAGTATTTCAAAATGAAAAAAATAGCAATTTTGTACCAATATGATGAAGGTGAGATTGATTGGTAAATTCTAATAGTCACAAATTATATGTAATATTCATTGCGGTGTCTTTATTAATATGTATTTGTTATACACTGTTCATAATGAATAAATGTGAAATGAAAAACTAAGAATAAATTATTTCATTACTTTTGTCATAGAAATATATTATTTTCATAAGTATATATATAATGATTTATATCATTATTTGGTAAGCACGTACACGTCATACATAGACACACACACACACACGCACACCCCCCCTCCCCACACACACACACCCATATATATATAAATATATATATATATAAGTATATATATGTATATATATACATAATAATAGGCCTATATATATGTACATATTTACATGATACATTATATTGCTTCCGCAATACTGCATAAAAAATACTAGGCCTATATTCATGTTTAAAATTTATATATAGTCCTATATAATAAATAAGTAAAATTATGTAATAAGTTTTTTTTTTTATTAAGTCATGTTTAAGCATCATGTCATACTAACATTGGTTTCTATCATGCATTTTGTAGGATTAGTGAGACTTCAAGAATTGCTGACAGCTTCTTCTAATTCTAAGGAAAATGAGATAATTATCAAAAAAATAATCGGAACCGATTTCAGGATGTTGTTGGAAGATATAAAGAAATCCGGAATCTCAAACATCATTGTAGACTGTGACGATGAGACGCTTCCTTTATTCCTATATCAGGTAAACTTCTCAGTTATGATTAGAAACGCTTAATAGGAAAGAGATGTAACTTATTGCTTTATATAAAAATTACTTCCAATCTTCATACAATGTTCTATGGAGCAGCCATTTCATTCCTGCTAGTTTCCTAATCTAGTACTCCTCACTAGTTATTCAAATAACTGCTCACGTTATACACACACGAGAGTAAAAGACATGTCTCTATGGTGTTGTTCTTCTAATCAACGTCGCCGCATTCCCTGTCTATGTCTAACTTGGTCTAACCTGCATCTCTGGTTAGAGTATAGTTGACACAATTGGTTCCAATTATACATAATATTCTATGCTAATACTTATTAATGTATTTTATTATTTATTATAGTACAGTATTTTTTTTTAATTATTACATTGATGATCCATCATTTATAACTATGTATATAAAACTTTATAACTACTTGTTTTTTTTTACTGCGCAGGCTATGCGGTTACAGATGCTTCGTTATGAATTTCACTATATATTTACGTCATTGGTAAGTTACACAAACGTATTTTATTCTTGAGGTGAACATCTCAATAAGCTGTGCTAGTTTAGTCACTTGCAGCAGTTTTCATTCTTATAACTTGTCTGACGTCATAATTCTCATAAAAATTCGTTCTTTTTCTGTTCAGGCACCTTATCTTTGGAATCTTTTACTTCTTTCTGTTCGACAATTTCAAATTTAAACTAATTTAAAACTAATTTGAAAACGTTTTGGTTTACGAATTCGCTTTAATTGGGTTTATTGTTCACTGCGCCTTTGATAATGTTTTTGAATTGGCGCGTTATGGATTTCTGCATATTATTATTAACATTATACATCACATTGGTGAGACAGTCATAAATATATCTACATTTTCGAATGTGGATTATAGAGTGGCAAGCCTGATCCCCAAAAGAGATTTTATATAATATGTTTATATATTATATACTATATAATATGCTTAAAAAAATCCCCAAAACCAAACTCAGTTTAATTATGCAAAGAATGTATATTAAATGAATGTAAAAGAAAGGAAATACGACTTTAAAAACCTCAGTCGTCTAAATTGAAATTTTGTAACTCTATAAATCTCTGGGCATACCGGTATATGCTAATAGTGTGCTAATAATAACTAAAAATATATAAGCAACTATGTTCTGAATATTTTTTTTCGAGTTAACCATTTCTTCGTCTTTTTCATTGATATATATATATATATATATATATATATATATATAT